TCCACCCTTTTTTTGGTTCACTGGGCCAATGGTTTATCAATTTTACTTTAAAAATAGCTCTTCATTTCACTGATCTTTTGTAGTTTTTCATTTCTATTTTAATTATTTTTATTTCTCTCCTTCTACTAATTTTGAATTTTGTTTGTTCTTGCTTTTCTAGAGCCTTGAAATGATTATTATATCATTTATTTGATATCTTTCCAATTTTTTGATGCAGACACATTGCTAGTATTGTTATAAACTCTCCTCTTAACCCTGCTTTTGCTGCATCCCCCCCCCTTTTTTTTTCTGTGTGTAGCACATTCTTAGGCATCTTCTGTAGGGCTGGGTGAGTAGTTACAAATTCTTTCAATTACTGTTTATTGTGGAAGATCTTTATTTCTCCTTCATTCATAAATGAGAGCTTTGGAGGGTACATTTTTCTAGGTTGACAGTTTTTTTCTCAGGACTTGGAATATATCTCATCATTCTCTCTTGCATATGGGGTTTCTAACTAGAAGTATACAATGAGTCTAATTGGGTTTCCTCTGAAATATGATTTGGTATTTCTCTCGTGCACATTTTAAGATCTTTTCTTTATGTTTTACAGCAGAAAGTTTAACTACGTTGTGTCGCGGTGAAGATCTTTATTGGTCATGTCTACTGGGAGTTGTGTGTACTTCTTTTACTTGGATGTCTCTTTTCTTCAGATTGGGGAAGTTTGCTGTTATTATGTCATTAAGAAGGCCTTCTAACCCTTTCACTCTTTCCACACTTTCCAGACCTCCTAGGAACCATAAATTTGGTCATTTGATAGCATCTTGTAGATCTCCACCTGTGTTTTTTTTTTTTTTTAATTTTCTAATTTATATTTTTTTGGTCTGATTGTAATGCTTCTAGAAATTTGTCTTCTAATTCTGATATTCTTTATTCTGTCTCACCTATTCTCTTGTTAAGGCTTTCCACTGCATTTTTTATTTGATCTACTGAATCCTTCATTTCTAGTATTTCATTCTGACTTCTCTTTAATATCTCAATTTCTTGGAAGAACTTTTCCTTTAGATTGTGAATTTGGTTCTGATTGCTTCAAAGTAATCTGATGATTAATTTTCTGAATTCTGTTCCTAGCATATCTTCAATCTCTTCATCTTCACCTTATATTATTGAAGAGATGTAGTATTCCTTTGAGGGGCTCAAAATGTCTTCCTTATTCTTGTTTAGGGATTTTCCTTTGTTTTTCAGCATTTGTGTATCTTTTCTATTTTTCTCTGGTTGCTTTTCTCTTTCTGTCTTTGTGATTTAGTGGGACATCTATACTTTTAGTGAGTTCCAAAAGTTGTGTGTTGGGTGTGGCCTGGGTGCTCTATTCAGTATTCCTGAGTGGAGAATACAGCCAATATAAGGCCACCCTAAGGCTTTGTAGCTTTCCTCTGATTTGTTGGTTAGAGGAAGTTGTTTACTTCTGTTGGTGTGACCCATCCTTTTCTTCAATTGTGAGACAACCTGGTGTTAATCTCCAGTGTTTCAGGGTTATATCACCCTGCTTTAACCACCTCTAATCTGTGGAGATTTTCTTGTGGTGAGGTGTCCCTCTTATGAGCTATATGTCTGTGTGTTGCAAGTGGAAGCACAGAGTCCCACCTACTTGAGCCTGTCTCACTTCTCAATCATGGTAGAGTGGGGTACAAGCTCTGGTGCATGGAGCCCTGCCTACTGGAGCTCAGCTCGCTTCTCAGTGGTGGATGGAGCAGGCTCAATTTTTCAATATTCAGGACTTCTTTTTGTACAGCTTATGTGGTAAGGAAGAAATTCTTCTGAAATATTGTAGTCCTCATTCCTGGGTGGGGGTGTGGTGAGGTGGCCCCTGCAATTGAAGAGCATGTGCATGGGAGGCAAAATTGGCAGGCCCTTGCTTATGTTCAAAACAAACAAATGGCTTCCCCCAGTGGCTGCAGAGGGGAGGGAAAGGGATGGAGGTGAGCAAGGGAGCTCCCGACTTCTCTGTTCCTATCTTCTCTTTTTTCCCACAGGGAACTTCAAAAGCAGTTTGCGAAGCTCTCCCTCCCACTGCTACTTTCAGCTCCACGGACCTACAATTTCCTGTCTCACCTGGTCCACTGGGGGCAGGTGCCAACCTCCCCAGTCGGAGACTCCATTGCTTCCTATTCTTATTTGCTCTTTCAGCATGGACCTGCCCAGTCTCTGTTGATCTCCTGGGCTTCTCTGTCACGATTTTCCCAAGCTCTATCTCTGGTGTGTATCTTCTCTCCTTTATAAATATTTTGCCCCATGTCACTAGGATAGTCCTATTGCTATACCATCTTGAGAACTCTGAAGGCTTTAATTTTGGAAATGTGACTGGCTTTGGTGGAGTCCCTGAGACTTGTGCTGGAGTTCTAGTACAGTATGCTGGATGGGCCCAGGGAATTCAGGCCACTATTTTTGAGTGAAGCAAGAGACCTGAGTGTCATCCAAGTTCGGAATGGTATGGTACCTGTGGCTACAATCAGTAGGGGTAGGGGATGTTGGAGTTGGCTAGTATGTTCACAATCCCAACCCTTCTCTGTGACAAGTTGAACCAATTCACAGCCTAGAATGAGCTGACAGCGACTGCACACCCTACCCACCCAGGTACATGCACCATGCAGAACACTGATTTGCTTCACAGTGTGTTTCCTGAATCCTTCACGAGATGTCATCAGCATGCAGGGATCTCTTGAATTTTTGCAGACCATGCTGGTGCACAACCCACATCCCTATCAGCTCCATGGTCTATGCCCAGAACCCTAACAGTCACAGGTGCACACGGTCCACTCACAGCCCTGCAAGCTTCCTGTCCCCACCATGAGCTGCCTCAGTATAGAGACTGGTTGCAACTCCATCTCAGCAAATTTTGTCTGGTGCTTTGGTGAGGAAGGGGAGAGAAGCAAGCTGGTCTCTCCTGGTGGAACAAAGTAGTTGCTTAGTCCCCTGCCAGTTCTCCAGACTACACTCAAAGTCTGTGAGGACCAGAAGTTGTGCCCAGCCTCCTTTCACCGTGCCTGGTAAGAAGGTAAGTTCCACATGGGTGCCAGCCATGTATATACAAGAGTCATTTGTGGTGAGTGACTGAAGGTATGTGCTGTTGTCTCTCCTCACCACTCTGTGGAGTCTCTGTTCTGGTCTAGTCTCCACTGAAAATTTCAATCAGTCCCTTGGGAACATTGTTCTGGGTTTTTAATGGTATCTGTGGCTGTGGTCATTGTGGCTTTTCCCTGTTCAGCCACCTTACGTTCAAATTCCAACATATCCATTGTACATAAGTGATGAAAGTATTTTATCTCTCTGCTCCTAAGTTCTATTACCTATCACAAAAGGGAAAGGGAGAAATAACAAAGCTAAATTCACAGTGTCTTTATAAGGAAAATTACAAAATAAACCTGGAAGTCTACTATAGTTCTTGGTATATAACAGTCACAAAAATTCTTATTTTTTAAAGATTTATTAGTTACATAATTATTATTAATTATTCCTCCAATTATTTCTCCAAAACTACAGGCCCTTTAATTTCACTAGTTTTTCACTGCTTATTCCAGAATTTTACATTAACATTCTAGCTTCCCAATTTGAATTAGAAGGGTGCATCTTTTAATGTGTAAAAATATAAAAGTAGCTAAAAGTAGCCTTCAGTTTGTGAAATAACAGTTCATAATTATTTTGTATTTAAAGACTTATGTGTACTTATGCCCCATGTTGGACCTCTGTCCTTAATGAGATGTACTATGAGAATTAATGGTAAAACTTGTCTTCAAACTGTACTTTATACCTTGTGTGTCTGTGTGGGTGCAAACAGTTGAAATCTCTACTTAGCATAGAGTTTTTATTCTGTATATAAAGTCAATTAAAAATGAATCTTAATAAAGAGGGATAGGAGTGGGGGGTGGGAGGGTGGGAATGGGGGGAAGAACCACTATATTCCTAAACTGTACATATGAAATTTCTACTCATTAAATAAAAATTTTCTAAAAAAAAAAGACATGTTGAACTGAAACTAATGTTATTCTGCATGTACTCACTTGCTTTTAGGTCTTCAATGCCAAATATGTTATTTTAGGAACTGCATGTATTACTCCAAGAATATTAATCATCCTACCCTAAGTCAGTCCTAGATAAGAGATTTGGATGTCCAACTTTTGTAAGACTTGTTTCTATACTATCATATAGCAATTAAGTGGAAACAGTCTTCAAAGATATCCTGGTTAACTCCCAGGCAATATACCACAATTATTCTGAACAGTTAATGGTTCATAGTCTTAACAAATTTATTTATTATTTTTGGCAGAAATGTTTTTATTTCCAGTTAAATGCTTTGTTAACGCAGGTAAATGCAAATACCTGTCAAGTTAGGCAAGCAATTCCTCTTCAATGTGGAGAGAATTTTAAAGTCAATTTTTTTTCTTTTCCAGGTTAAATCATTCCAGCTCCTTTAATTTTTCCTCATAAAACATGTCTTATTTTTTTCCCTAATCTTACTTCTTATAATTTCTTGAGTTTTGTGTAATGTTTAAGACAGTATAACATTTAAGAAAAGTATTGGAAAGGTAGCTTTGTGGTGGAGCATTTTTTTCCAATTATAAAACAATGGTGAATATTGTTCTCATGGAAATGGTTGCAACCTCAGTAAACATTCTAATGGAACTGGACTCACATCTTTGGCACAAGAAACTGAGATTATTGTAGAGTCTTTAGCTTTTGTCAAACCCATAGTTAAAATTAGGAAATAAAAAATGCTTGAGGCTGCATCAATACCACTTATTCACTGATACCTTCAATACATTGTATACCAACTTAAAAATATATAAAAAGATAGAATTCTTGTCCTTATCACACTTTTATGCTCTAGGCAAATCATAAATATATGAAGTCATATGAATTTAAGGGAGGAAAACCATAGTAACTTCCAAAATAACAAGCTAGAAATTCAATTTGCAATTACTGGAAAGATGAAGAACAGAGGAATAATTAAAATCAAACTGGCTTATACAAATGTAAGCTTTCTAGGGCAAACTCATTTGTAAGTAGGAGGAAATTCACAGAGATTAGGTAATCCACATCTATCACATGAGCTTTATCTTAGCACAGGGTTTAAAAAATATATCAACACAGACTGCTAATATTGAAATCACGGATTATTCTGTTCATCATTGCTTTTAACATCAGTTGGATCTAATTGATTTTCCTCTCCCCAAATGAAGAGATTTCCACTCTCAAAAATATAAAGTATTTCTAACACATTTCTGTTGCTAGTATTTAAGGATGCCTCAATTTCATAAATATCTAACTGGCAGGCTTGATTAAGCAAATCAGAGAAGTAACAATTCACATTTTCTCTTACTACTTGGCTGAGATTTGTTCCTGAGCTCTGGAATTTGTAATTTAATAAGTTGTTATTCTCATCAAACGCTTTAAAGTTTTCATTTACCCAGCTGCTAGTATCTTGAGTATTTGAAATCATATGACCAACAACTAATAATGATGTGTATAAGACATTCAAGAAAAAACTTATCTTTAAATATGATTGAAGTACCTTTAAATTACTTTCTTCCTCTAAGTCCAAGTATTTAATTATTTTTGATTTTCTTCTTCTATCTATCAAGCCAAACATGTTATTGAAATAAAGCTGATTGACTGTATCAACAATGGCCTTGTCGACAAATTCTTTTCTAATACTGGCTCTATTGTTCTTATCCAGAAAAATGCTTTTGTTTGACTGTGGTATATATGGCTGCATTTTCATCCATAATTGGAAACTCCAAGAATTTTCAATATCAGAATCTTTGCGATATGCAAATCCTCGCTGTTCTTCATTTACAGGATGGATAATAACAGTTAGTATTGGGCAATGCTGACCACAAAGAGAATAGAGTTTATCCAAAGAGTCACCTTCCTGAATTGTACTATGAGTCACAGTACTGCCAGGCAATGGTTGGTTTTTAATAGCATCATGAGATACAGGGTGAACTTTGTTACCAGCAGGTGTAAAGGCATGAGTGACAGATGTGCATACTTTTTCTGATTGAGGATTACCCTTTTTCTCTACTTGGTGTACTGTTATGCCCTCCTTGGCACAAGTTTTCTTCTTAACTTCTAGCAAATCTTCACCAAAAGGCTCGGAGTCACTACCATGAGGCATATTGAAGTAATTGCATTTCAGTTCAAGGGGTTGAGTCAGTTCCTCCACTTCTGAGGAGGAAAGTTCAGCCATGGTTGGGCCTGGCATCAAATTTCCAAAATGTGAATATGGTACTTCATTGCTGTTATTATCAAGTAGGGTATCTACAGATGTGGTGTCTGCATTGCCATACATACCAGGATTCTCAGATGACACCCTTAGCAAATGATTTTCTCTTAGGAGCCACTTGCCTTTGTCAATCAATATTCCCTCCTGTGTATCTCTAGAGATCCTGTTATGATTATTTTGTTTTATACCATTTTCTACAATGTTGCCCATGTGATAACTGTCCCTCACACCATTAACATTCCATGTGTCTTGTTTTTCCTCCTGGAATTCCTGCAGCATAGGTGAATTATTACATACCTGTTCAGAAGAGCCAAATGACTGAACTTCAGAATCATAAACACCTGCTTTCCTAGCACACTGAAATTCCACAGAATTGTAAGGGCAAACCTGAGATCTGTGTGTAGACCCAGAGAAAAAAGATGGTTTAATAATCTCTGATTTACCATAAAGTTTTTCAATTGCCCTTTTAACAAATCCTCTATTGTATTCTTTTTCTTGGGCAATCTCATCACTGTCATTTGGACCATCACTAGGTGTTTTATATGGCTGCTCACTCTCACTGTCTGGTCTATAATCTGACCAATCAGAAGTCACTGAACTTTTGAAGCACTTTTTAAAATCAGGAGAGGCTTCTGAATAACTTTCACTTTCCATGTTTCTCACCATCATTTTTACTCTCATCTTAGTTTCTCCCTCTTTGAATTCCTTTTCAGTATTTTGCTTAGAATCATAGCAAAAAACTAAAGATGGTGGTGTCGCTGATCTCCTGCTAATTGTCTCACAAATTACACCATTCTTTTTTTCTTCTGTAGCATTCCTACCAGATATGTCTATTAATTCCAAATTTTTACTAGCCTCTAATTCTTTGGGGGTTGGTTCTTCAGTGGATGGCTCTCCTGTATTTACCTTTGCATTAAAGATAACAGAGTCCTGGTTATCTAATTCTTCAAAAGACTCCAATTCTGAAATGTTGTTTCTTTCACTAGATGCCATGCTGTTGGTTATCGAGCCTGGATCATCAGAAGTTCTTGAATCTTCCTTATCAAAGGATGTATATGCATTTTTATTCTGAGATTTATCTATTGAGAAATTGTTAAATTCATGTGCAGAACTATGTTTCTTTTCCATTTCTGGCTCAATTTTATTTTGGAAAAGGTCACCGGGGCTTAAATTACTGACATTTTGAAGAGACACCAATGTATCAAAGTCATTTTCATACTCAGGATCTGCCAAAATATTTGAGGCTTTGTGAATTTTATCAACTCTTTCTAATTCTTCAGCTAATTCCAAGTTATTTGAATATGTGTTTTCTTTGGAATTTAACAAGTCCATGGTATTGCACACTCTGCTAGAAGTGTAGGACTCATTAACTGGACAAGTCATTTCATAAATATGGTTCTCCTTCTGAGCACAAGCCTTGCAGGAAGATACAGCACCAACAGATGAACAGAGCTCTTCCTGGAAACAAGCCTTGTTTTTGGAGATCTGATCTACAACACAATTATCACTAAGAGGAAAAGTTTCACAGGGCTGACCAGTCTCTGTTGGAGGGTAAGTCTTATTCACAGTACACACCTCACTTGGAGAGTGTGTCACCTGGGAAACACAGACTTCAGAGACACAAGCCTCATCTGCAGTGTAGCCTCCATCCAAAAATGAGATTTTCTGTGATTTTTCCTTTTCATCGCACTCAGCACTCTGAATGTTGGCCACGGAGCAATTTTCAGAAAGACCTATTGGAGTCATATCTTGTTCTTTCTCGCTGAGCCCAATGTGACTTGTTGCTGACTCCACTAAGTTAGCTACAGCAGCCTTCAAGTCATCAGCTTCTTCTGTGATAGCAATGTGCTTTAAAACCTCCAACAGTGCAAGTGCTTCTGAAGACCTGTTGGTAGTCTTATGAACATCACCTTGACAGAAGCCACTCACACTTCCCTTTAGGTTTAGCACAATCAGCCAAGCTAGAAGAAGATTAGTGGACGAATTAGATATTGCAGAAGGGAAGGGAACATCTGCAAGTGAAGCCGACACTTGAACAACTCCATTCTGTGACTTGTGAATGCTGGGAACTGAAGCTTGGAGTTGAGGAAGCACAAGGCCTGATAAGAAGTCTTTTGACACATCCATAGGATCTACTTGAATGGCAGCCTCTACACCTTGCTCTTTTGTAGCTAGGTTTATTTCTTGGTTAGCAAGGCTTACTTCTGGTCCTGTCTTCTCAGCTGATACCTGACTTTCAGAACTCCAATCATTAGTAGTTGGCTGTGAAAAAGCATGACACTGATGCAGGGAAACTAAGCAAGACTCTTTCAGAGATCCAATCTGACTCTCAAAGAGATCTTTGTTAAGTTCTTCTCCATTATCTTTAGCAATAGATTGACCTACCTCTTTACATAGATTATCTAGTGAAGAAACATTATTTTTAGTTGCACACATATCACTTTCCACAACAAAATCTTCTTTTCCAGAACTTGCAAGAGAATTATTTCCCGGAAAGCCATTATTATAACAACTTACCACACTCCTCTCATTTTTGCATACTGGAGCTGATTTTCTAAGTTTTACAGTTGAATATGTATTTACATTCTGCAACCATCTCTGTATATAATTTTGAACTGAAAAATGGGCACTATCTTCAGGAAAATCACCTCTATTCAATGAAACTAAGGAATTTGCCCTGGTTGTAGTACGCTGTTTACTTACAGTGGCACCTGATTTTAATCTATCCCCTTTTGTTTTTTTCTGGATTTTTAAAGTTACATGTGAATCATTAACTTTTGAAACTAAATTCTTCTTTGTCATTCCTCTCAAATACCCAGATGCCATTTCTGCTTGAGACTGTGGGCCACTAAAAGCTTTGGGTTTTTGCTCAAGGTTAAGTATATGAAATAAACTTTGGTTTTCAAAAGTACTTTTGTAATATTTAGATTCATTGTAGGAATGTATTTTATCTCCATAACCAGTTTCCTTTTTTTTAGGTCCTCCTAAGCTTACTTTCTTTAGTGGTCTGGACTTTCTTTTGGTTAAAAGTCCTTGAACCTTAGAATTTTGAGTACTACTTAATCTATTTCTATGAAAATTCTTGGTTATTATGGGATTGAGATTACTTTTGGAAGAAAAATTATTTGGTTCAATTCTCATATCACTTACACAGAGGTCTTCCTCACAAAGCATCCTTCCTTTAAGAGGTTTCTGTGAACCTTGCAATAAGGCTTGCTGTGCAACTCTACCTCCTCTGTTGATTCTCTGATTCTGATTGAGGATTCCTTTGGTTGCAATTTCTTCATTCTGATAGCTGTTATTTATCACTTGTTTCTGAGATTTCTTCTTCTTTTTTCTAGCAGAAGATGACAAAATCTGCTTTCCATTGTCTGGAAGTTTTTTTAAACCACCCTGAGCAAATCCATTAACTAGCCTGTCAATTCTTGTGGTGACGGCAGAGGAACCTACTGAAGCTGGAGCCTCGGAACTGCTTTTATCGGTTCCAGAGTTGTTACTTGAAGAGTAAGTTGCATCTGCTGAAATAGGACTGAACCTATCACTGGTGTTATCATAAATTCTGAAGTTCTTGATTTCGGTTTTGTTCCCTGAGATTACACTTTCAATTGCACCTTTCTCCACAACTGAATTCTCTGATATGGTCAATGGCAAGCCGTTTTTATGGGACATCTCTAACATCTTCTGACTTGTAATTTCTATAACACCAGCACTTGACTTGAGTAGTCTCCTTTCTTTTTTTCTTTCTACAGATGACTCCATTTGCTCATTATTATTGATCTGAACAAGTACTGGTTTGTTAGATACTGATGACATTTTGCTGCAAGAATGTGTGAACATGTGATATTCAGATTTGTTTTCCCCACTTTCCCTTTCTTCACTATAGGAAAACTGTTTCTCTTGAACCTCAGTTTCAGATACTAAGGTCACACTCCCTATCACAGATTTCTTTTGTCTCATTCTTTTTGGTCCAGGTGTAGGGGGCCTATAAAACCGATGCTTCACTTCATCTTGAGTTTTTTGGGTGACATCTGTGTCTATAGCAACATTCTCCCAACTAACAGAACCGCAAGTTTCAGCCCCTTGATCTGTCATTTGAGTGTTGATCTCCTTTGCTAAACTGCCCTCTTGATTACTGTCTTTCTCTAGAGGTGAGACATCTGCAGACAATGAGCATGCTGCAAGCTTTAAACCAGATGATCGATCATCTCTTCTTTCAGGAAAACTGCTTATCTCACTCTTTTCGTCATTATTAGGAAGATCAGCCCTACTGACAGTGGTTGTCCATTTTAAGGTCTCCTCCCCTTTTATCTTGAATCGCACTTTCATCTCAACTGTCATAGTACCATCTTGATTAAAAATAATCGATTTCTCAACATCATCTTCAGAAGGATATATTGATAAATTCTGAGAATCATTTTTTTCTAAGGCCAAGTAATTTTCAGGAGCAAAAGAACAGTCTGAGTAACAATCATTACTATATGTTTTGTCCGAAGAAACAGAGTAAATCTGAGATCTTGAGATTGAAGGCTTATGTGTGCTCACTTTCAAGATTTGAAGAGTAAAAGGTTCCCACATCAAAATATAATGTGGAAGTTAGAAAAGTTACAAACATCCATTGGAAGAGGCAGCAAAGAAAGAAAAGAAAAAAAGAAAGAATTGAGATGAAAACTATCACATTTTCTGTATTTCATAGTCAAATGTTATTGATACATTATTTCTTAGCTCTATATATTTAATGGTTACGAATCATTTCTTCAAGTCACTCTTGGAGACCTGTAATCCTACCTCAATGAGAAGATTCATAAAAATTTAACATTAATAAGGTAATTTTAATGGGAAGTAGAAATTGCTAAGAATTCTATGGGAGAAAGTTCCTGGTTCCTGGCTTCAGATCAGCCAAACTCTGGCCATTGCAGCCATTTGAGAAGTGAACTGGCCAATGGAAAACCTCTTTCTCTCTCTCTCTGTCTCTCTCTCTCTCTCTCTCTGTGTGTCTCTCTCTCTCTCTCTGCCTCTGTAACTCTGCTTTTCAAATAAATAAATAAATCTTTTTTTAAAAAAAAAGAATTCTATAGGAGAAAAAACTGGGTTTTGTGAGGTATTTGTTTTGTTTTATTTTATTTTCCAATACTAAAATTGGAGTCTAACCAAATATTACTTATGTATTCAAACAAGGCAAGTAACAATGGTAATAATCATTTTCCTATCTGTGCATATCAAAGAGAGGCATCTGCAGTTTTATTAAACCAGAAACACTTTTATAATTTATATAATACTGGGTTAAGTAAGTAACACTTATTAATTTAGCATTCATTTTGTAGAATTAGTAAAGTTGATTTAACATGAACAGTACAAAGGAGAACAGAGGTAGACATAAGTCCTGTTATTAGTTATCTTCTGAATGTGCATCCTTAGAATTAACTTTGGTACTCCTGCTTCTTAAATTCTATCAAATTACTATTAGTAATCTCTGTAGATTTATTTACTCATGCTTACCATCAGGTAAACATCCTTAACATTTCCCAGTATAAACTTCAAGGTACTTTTTCTTAGCTTTGGTATAATTTTACCCAACTTACAAATGAAAATATCTCTTAATTTTTTAAAGTAAAATGTAAAAGTCCCCCGATTCCCTCAAGTCATCAAAAATAACATTCAGCAGCCTGTGTCAGACATAAAATAATAAAACCATTTTAGTAAAACGGACAAGGTAAAAGTGTATATCATGTACAGAACATATATTTGGCAGCCTAATGCCAACAAAACAAGAATATTAATAATTATCTACTGAGTATACATATGAAATAATTAAATTACAACTATAAATAGTAGATGAGTTTCAACCACATTAGCAGTAAGTAAAAGGATAAATACTACTTAAAATGTACATTATCTCATATCTAAAAAGAATGAAAGTTAAAATTTAAATATAATTGGCAGCTAAAGTTGCCTGGAAATACTGGCAAAAAGCATCATGACCTAGGAAGCCATATTCCTCACCCATCCCAAGGATAATACCATATCATGCAGCAGATGCAAAGGAATTAACAACCTAAATTATTGTTAACTGGCATGAAATGGCTGCATGAACCTTCTTTTATTAAATAAAAACTTGTTCTAAGAACCTGTGAATTTTACAGGTATTACTTAAGAAGGTAAAAATATAGTCATTCCACTGAACTGAACTCAGTTATAAACACTACACACTCCAACTACCAGGGACATCACACAGATTCCATAAAATTCTTTTCCAAAGTATAAAATGTTGACAGTTTGGTTTTTTAATTAAGTACTTTAAGAAGAAGAAAAAGGCAAAGGGAAGCAGCAGAAGGAAAGAAGGGGGGAGAAGGGAGGAAGAAAAGAAGAAAAGAAAAAAAGAAAAGAAAAGAAACATACCTCATCAATTTAAACAGACATATCATTGAATTGGAAAAGTCTAAAAAAATATCAGGTAATTTCCATGACTACTTCCAACTACATGGATAACCAATTTCAGCTCAGAATATTTTTAATCCTCTCATATTTTCTCTTCTGTGGTGAAGGAAAGTGGTCTTGTGGGAGCAAAAATCTCAGGTTTAAAGGTAATGGCTAAATATTTATAATTGACTTACTTTTTCTGCTTTCTGACTTGGCATTTCCCTTTCGGTATACACGATGAGAAATTCCTGGTAATTTAGCAGGAAGCAAGTACTTTTGGGTGTCATAATTCCCGGGTTTAAATGGCTCCCTTCCGGCTGCCACCACAGCTCCAGAGCTCAGGATCACTGCCTGAAGACTGGGAACCTAGGAGAAACCAAAGAGTCATGGCCTTCATATAAACAAGTTTTATTTTTTGCGTGTGGCCATTTTATAATTTTGACTGAATCACCTTGACAACACCCTGGCTTGAGATAAGCACCAAACATTTTCTTAGATACCAACAATGAATACAAAACAACTGGAAATACTAGCTGCAGAGGGTGGAGAATGATGAACACAACATAACTGAGCCAACATACGAGGCAGACTGGCTGGTCTTCTGACAAAACCAAAGTAATTTTAAAAGGTATGCGCTATTTCCTACCAGTCTGTAGCCAAATGCTTGGTGGACACAGCAGGGCCAGGAAGGCGAACACGCAGTCAGCTGTAGACCCCCAACAGGGACCCCTGGAAAACCCACTCTCTAACTAGGAAACTACTACTCTAGCCCACTCCTCTCCAAAAAATAATGGCGATACTTGAAATCTATGCATTGGTTTTTCATATGTATTTTTCATAAACTTTTTAAAGACCCCTCCTACGCATGGGCTTAAAAAATGCACAAAAATAAACATATTTTAATTCAATTTTCTACTAAGTTTTTTTTTAATTATCCGTGTATTGTCAAAACTGGATTCCAAGACAAAACATTATCTAACTCGGTGGCCATGGCAGGCAGAAAGGGGGCGGAAGCATGGGGGAAAGGAAAAAAATCCTCGTAACCAATGGCCTGTCGGAGTGTGATGAAAGAACACACATTTCACTGGGTCACAAAACGGAAAACATACATGCGCTCAAGGAGAGAAGAGGCCTTGCTTCCCCAGGCCTAAGTAACCTCCCACACCAACCCAGAGTGAGGAGCACCCAGAATGCTCACCTTCCTTCCGTCCGTGGCGTACAGCTTGACCACCGAGAAGCGCATGACGCCCGTCAGGTGCTGAAGAAAGCCCTCGAAGCTCTGGGTGACCCTCTTGCTCAGAACGATCGTGCGCCTAGTCCCAGGGTCCCCATTCCGGAAGACCATGAGCCTCCGTGGAGGGCGGAGCGTGCTAGCAGCGGCGATGACAGGGTGGTGGTGCACATGCGCGCTGAGAGTGCGGCTGCTGAGCCAGGGCTTGGGGCGCCGGCTGGCCTTGTCCAGGTCGACCGGTTGTACCTTCTTACCGTGGGAACACAGGTACGACTCACCATCCTCCAGTTCCTCCAGGCTCGTGATGCAGTGCCTTCCACGAGGGGTGCTGATGTTCCTCACCCCGAAAGGTAGGGGCACCTTCCTGGACAAGTTATCAAGCAGAGCATCGAAGGTCTTAAAGGAACGAGGGTTGACCACCACCCTGACCCCACCAAACTGGGGGTCTCCGCTCTTGTAAAAGCTGATCCGTTTGGCGACAACAGGATGAGTGACACTTACATGGCGAGAGGATAGAATTTGACCTTCAGACAAAATCGGTTGAATCATGGAAAAACTCGTAGAAGGGGTGTCACTCATTTAGGCTGAGACCTAAAGAGGAAAGAAAATCATTCATTTACAGAATAATAACACTATAGAGTCCATAATAATGCTACTGTATGCTAATTACTATGTTTTATTATGTTCTTATGACTTTATTCCCTAATTGATTTCTTTATTCAGGCATTTTACCTGCTAATTTTAAAAGATCAGTTTAAGGGATTTTAAAAGACATATAGGGAGCTGTTAAATAAGGATATTTGTCATTTAAGAATTGAAAACCTAAAAACACTAAAAAAGGGCCTCGGTAAGTAAAATAATTTTTATATACGCCCATGCAATGGAAAACCATGCAACTTTAAATAGATGATTTGTTAAAAATGGCTCTTCTTGGATTTCCTTGGACGCACTGCGAGTAGTACCCAGACTGTTCCATTTTTACCAGTCCATACAGTGCTGCCATTCATTCTAAGAACATTTATTTAGTGCAATGTTTCCCAAAGTAGAGTAAGTGGTGTGTCACATGATTTTCCTGCATGTTTTCCAATCTGCAGGGAAAAAAACCCTGGAACTGTTTTAACATGGCTTTTATTCAAGGATCTGTGTGATACATTCTTCCTAGAAGTTAATGTCAGGTTCATTTTCTTTCGGTCAAACTCATTTGGTTCCATCCGAAGGACAATTTGAAGTTTAGAATCTTTTCCTGTGACTCCTGCTGCTCCCTCAATACCTACTGGACGGATTACTTTGACTGCTAGGACAAATTGATGGTTTACAAAATTCTCTTTTTTGTGTCTCTTTTGTTACAATTGCAATAATACCTGTTAATTTTAAAGACTCACCAACTTTAGTACTGTATAAAAACACAAATATTATCCATAGCTACATCATCCAGTGCTAACAACCATCAACCCTTTTGGGACCTTTCTCCATTTGTATAACACACACAGAGAGACACACACATGTACACACACATAAATCAATGTCATGGTCCATGTGTTTTACAGACTGCTTTTTCACTTAGTAATGTGTCATGATCATCTTCTTTTAAATTTTTTTTCTGATACATCAACTATTTTATTTTTTTCATGGGCAGAGACATACTATCTATTTCATAGTTTTTATCTTCTAAGTTGATGCTGCAATGAAACAAGGAAATAAGGTGAACTTTACTTGTTCTTGGCCCCTCAGTGATGCCAGCGTCTTCCTCTTGCTTATATTGACCAAAATTTCATAAGCATATTCTTGGACCTTGTGGTGGGAGAGGCTGAAACAGAGAATTAGGGAGCAGTCTCTGCTGGTTCAGTCACCAGATCCCCACAACTGCCAAAGCCAGGACTGAGAACCCAATACAGTTCTTTCATGTGAGTGAAAGGCACCCAACTACTTGAACCATCACTCTCAAGGTCTGCATTAGCAGGAAGCCAGAGTCAGGAGCCAAGGTGAGACTTCAACCTAGACTTTCCCATGTGGGCTGTGGGCATCTTAACAACTAGTCCAAATGTTGCCTCTATGATCATCTGTTTAAAAGTTGCATGGTGGGGCCGGTACTGTCATGCAGCGGGTTAACGCCCTGGCCTGAAGTGCTAGCATCCCTAAGAGTGCCGGTTTGAGACCTGGCTGCTCCACTTCCAATCCATCTCTCTGCTATGGCCTCAGAAAGCAGTAAAAGATGGGCCCCTGCACCCACGTGGGAGACCCGGAAGAAGCTCCTGGCCCCTGGCTTCAGATCGGCACAGCTCCGGCTGTTACGGCCAATTGGGGAGTGAACCATCAGATGGAAGATGTTTCTCTCTCTCTGCCTTTCCTCTCTCTGTGTAACTCTGACTTTCAAATAAATAAATAAATCTTAAAAAAATAAAAATAAAGTTGCATGGTTGGGGCCGGCGCTGTAGCATAGTGCGCAAAGCCGCTGCCTGCAGTGCTGGCATCCCATATGGCACTGGTTCAAGTCCCAGCTACTTCACCTACAGTCCAGCTCTCTGCTATGGCCTGGAAATGCAGTAGAAGATGGCCCAAGTCCTTGGGCCCCTGCACCCTCACAGGAGACCCAGAGGAGGCTTCTGGCTCCTGGGTCCTGGCTCCTGGGTCCTGGCTTCGGATAGGCACAGCTCTGGCCATTGCAGCCAACTGGGAGTGAACCAGTGGATGGAAGACATCTCTCTCTCTGCCTCTCCTACTCTCTCTGTGTAACTCTGACTTTCAAGTAAATAAATAAATCTTTTTAAAAAAAATAAAGTTGCATGATTTTCCATTGCATGGAAAATTCTTTTTCTGTTTCTAGGTGAAACCAGAGTCTGATAGATTGTCAAAAAGGTTATCTGGTTCTGGGTTTGTTTTTCATTTGTACATTTTGTGTCTAATTTCTGTTGTTTAAAATTATTGTAATTATTAGTGTCTTTTGACAGAATAAGAAACCCCTGCAGCTTTGAAGATAAACTGAACGAATGAAATCGGTGTAATAGAGAGGGGAAGAAGCTTGTTTGTCATTATAAATCAACTATAAACCTGACTTAAATCACCTACTTAAATATTTGCAAACTATTATTTAACATTCATCATCTATCTCCCATATCATTTGCAAATCTTATTTATATGTAACTTAGAAGAAAGCATTTGAAGATCAGCCTAGAAAATCTCTCTCTCCTTCTCTCTTCCCCAGAGGTATAAAGTAATTATGGTACTTAAGACAATAAAGGCTGATGGAGCAGGCATATGCATCAGGATCTGGGGAATCCAGCTTTGTCATAGAGTCAGCAAAACTGCAGCCTCTTCTCATCCTCATCTGATAAAGTATGGCCTGACCTTGGGCAGTCCGCTTAGTTGCCATGCCCTCATCAACTATAAGAATAAATTCCTTCAGTGTTTAAATAAAAGACTTCACATGTCTACCTCCAGTTACTTTTAAAGTTGGATTATTACATGTTTATTGGATAACATTTTACATGAATTTTATCTGGGACACATTTTTTACTGAAGTGATATTCATGTGTATGTATATGTATGTATATATATATATGTAAGTATACTTACATATATATATATATATATATATATACACCTGCAGTGAAGTGATTGCCAGGCACCTTGGTAAGTAGGCTGTAGCAAAACCAAAACAAAAATCAGAGTCCTCCACATGATCATTGCTACATGAAACAGAATCTCTGGCAATTCCTAGAAGTTTCTAGGGTAACTTTTAGGGAGTGTTGAGTTTCTGCATACATGCAAGTGAGAATTAAGAGCCTGTGAAGGGGCCAACACTGTGGCATAGCAGGTAAAGCTGCCACCTGCAGTGCCAGCATCCCATATGGGTGCCAGTTTGAGTCCCGGCTGCTCCATTTCTAATGCAGCTCTGTGCTATGGCCTAGGAAATCAGTGGAAGATGGCCCAAGTCCTTGGGCCCCTGCACCCATGTGGGAAGACCCCAAGGAAGCTCGTGACTCCTGGCTTTGGATCAGTGCAGCTCTGACCGTTGTGGCCAATTGGAGAGTGAACCATCAGATAGAAGATCTCTCTCTCTCTCTCTCTTTCTCTCTCTCTCTCTCTCTCTGCTTCTCCTTCTCTCTCTGTGACTTTCAAATAAATAAATAAATCTGTAAAATAATAAAAAGAGCCTATGACAAGTTGGCACTGTGTGTGAAACACAGAACATGATGCAGAATTGGTAGCACTGTTGGATAAAATGATCTGTGTTAGTTCCATGCACAGTGTCATCATTGGGAAAGAGGGTGCAAACCAGATTCCTTCAAAAGGTGGTAGGTCAGCTTTTGCCCTTATTTTATCATGCATCACTTATAGAGTACATGGAAAAGTCACAGAGTAATTCAGTAGCACACTTGAGGAAAACTTAGGGTACCAAGAGACTATGAAGGAGAGATGTCTAACACAGCTCGGAAGTTGGAGGCAGGGGTGGGAAGACAGAATGGTTTCCAGAGAAAAGCTGAGATGCTACAGGCAGAATGGTGGTGATGCCACCCGGGAAGTAGGCAGAGACAGTGTCTGCGAACAAAATCCTGACAGTAGACTGTCGCCTTTGGTAGAATAGAGCAATCAGCCCTCCAAAAGTTTGTCTTCCTCTCTTAATCAATTTTAAAAACAAATCAGAATTGGGATGGAAATTAAGCAATGTTTATTTACACACACCTTTCATAATAAGGTTTATGCCCTTTGTAGTTGAGATAAGACAATAATATACTTATGGGTTACCTATGGAACAAACTAAGCAGCCTCAAATTCTTTAATTCTTCTAGAATATTAGACTGCCTGACATTAGAATATGTTCTTAAGCCTAATACTAGAGTTTTGGGCTGAAGGAGAAATGGAAGCAGAAAAAAGAAACTAGAACCTTTTTTTAATATGTATTTATTTATTTGAAAGGTAAAGTTATAGAAAGGCAGAGTCAGAGAGAGAAAGGTCTTCCATCTGCTGGTTCACTCCCTAAATGGCTGCAATGGCCCAGAACTGGGCTGATCCAAAGTCATGAGCTTCCTCTGGGTCGCCCATGTAGGTGCAGGGGCCTAAGCACTTGGGACTTCCTCTGCTGCTCTCCCAAACACATTAGCAGGGAGCTGGATTGGAAGTGGAGTAGCTGGGACATGAACCGGCACCCAGATGGGATGCCAACACTGCAAGTGGCAGCCTTACCTGCTATACCACAGCACCTGCCCCAGCAACTAGAATCTTAAAGCCTTATAATTTCCTCACCACTGACTTCCACAGAGGTGGCAAGAAAGCTGATTTTTAAAAATCTGTTTGCCTGCAACCCAACTTATATTAAAACCTGCTCCAATGACAGCTTGCTGCAAATATCTTCCCCTGTTCTCTGAAGAGCTTCTGCATTGCTTACAGTTAGACTGTGGAGCTATCATGCCTGCCTTCATTGCTTTTTAAGGTAAAGCAGATTTTTAAGATCCTTTGGTTCTCTAGACTCGGCCATGGACGTGCTCATCTGTGCGGTTAAGTCTGGCTGCTCAGAGCTAAATAATTGCCACTACCAAGTGGCTGTACCTCCCCCCCCCCGCCCCGCACTTGACAAAATGGGTGAAAGATTTACACAACACAAGTGTATTTCACTGACCACATTTCAAATTTAATTTT